ACTTTTAAGATTCGAGTTTGTAAACCAAGTTCAGATGATGTTTCAATCGTATCATTATGATAACGGTAATTCATAATTGTGAAATGTTGAGGAATGAAAATTTTGAAGAAAATTTTCACGGTCTCTTCACACGTTTCTTTGGTTATCATCAGTTTTGGCTGTAAATTTGTTGGTAAGGCGTTATGTCCCATTGAAAAAGGTTTTGATGGTCCTAAATTGCTAGTTATAATAGCACTGGCTTGATTAACAAAGCTTTCATCAATTGTATAGAAATCAACTTGATCAATAAGACGAATAATTTTCAAACAGATCTTCATATATTGAATACTCGATGCAATTCGAACGATCAGTTCAGCTCCACGACGTACAACAACTTCTTCATAGGATGTTGTAGAACGTGGAGATTCATCAGCACATGGTTCATTTGAATTCAAACAGTTGAGATATGGTTGAATAAATTCAGCAACATCAGTTGTAAATGTTTGAAGGCGATCACCAATTAGTCCTCGAATAACATAAATATGAGCCAATGATGCATGTGAACGATTCAGATCCTTTTCCTGACCTAGAAAAAATTCAATAGTTAAATGTATCAGCACTATGCGCAAATATTAAATGCTAGTAATGTGTGTTTGTTGAGAATATCAACATTTTTTGTTCATAGATGACATTTGTAGAAATATCGATATATTTTTACAACCGTGAATATTAAAACTGTTTATCCACGAAAACCTTCTTCTTCATCAGTTTTATACTATTCGAGAAGAAAATAAACTTATATATTTAGCTTATCTATCTATCTGTTTTCGTAAGTTACTAGTCGTCATGTTTAATTGGCTATTATTAAAATTCTGCATGAATAGTTTACAGAATCTATTATTCCCGAGTTATAGCGATAACGGGTGGCCCAGAAATAATAAAGGTTCAGTATTTCGCTGATATATTGCCCAATTTTCATTGTATAGGGTTGGATTGTTTTCTAAACGATGTACCATTCAATTCTTGACGAAATGGATGTCGAAAATTGTCGTGAAGAGAGTTGAGTAAAAAAGCACTTAGAACAGTGCTGAAGACGTACGAAAAGGCCAACTGTTAACGATGAAAAACAGTTTTTGGAAGATTTTCAGTTGGTCAGTTATGATACCAATAAAATAAAATAAGGATTCTGTAGCCTTGAAAAGCTCTATCGATGGTTTATAACTGGAAAATTGTGCTATTCATTCTTGCGACATACACCGCTCATTTTCTTTTTCAGATTTTCGAGAACTTAACCGTTTCAATCTGCAATTCCAAACCTACAGCGAAAAGAGGCGTAACTAAGCTAAAATAATGTCTTTTGGGTTCGTTTTTTTAAAATTTTGATAGAAAATGGCTACTGTATGAAATTTACAGGCTCAAGCCGACCTCAAATTCTTTTCTTCAATCCACCTTGCAAAAAATATCAGATTCGAGGCATTTTCAATAGAATTTTCATAAGTCAACGTTTTTAATTTTCAAATGATTGCAACGAACTTTGAGCTACGTGACCAGAAACAGTACACTTCAAAGATACTCAAAAACATCTTCATTTTTGTTTTAATGTGTAAGGTAGAGAAAAAAACGTTCTGTTTCATCTTTATAATGGTTGTGAAAGTTAGTCGTTCTGTACGTGCTTAACATTATCTTAAAATTTTTCTACCTATCTATCTTCATAGAAGATTGTGATATGCGTTTGGTGAAGAGTTGAATGGCGCATCTTTTAGAGAAAAATTCAACTCGGGTGCAATGAAAATTGAGCCAGATATTAACGAAACTCTGAGCCCTTCATTATTTGTGGACCACCAGTTACATATTGCATTAAGTCAATCGATCTTTTGCTAAATCATGTTATTTTGATATCCGTAACTTCCTTGTCTTTTTATAATGACAGTTTACTACTTTTCACTGAATTATGATTCTCATATTATTATGTAAAAAAACGTACAGGCGTCAACAGGCAGACCAGGCCTAGGAAAAGTAGACCTGGTTGGACTTCTGGTTTGAATCTTTGTTATAACTTGCTGTTCTTTGTATCCGGTCGTAAGTATATTTCCATAAAATGAGTCCTAAATATAAACATTACACTATTTTAAAAAGTAAAACATTTTACAACCCAATGGTGCATTCCTATAAAGTTACCGTAGGTTATCTTTGAGTTCACAGAAATTATCGGGATCGTACATTCTAATGTTCAGATTGTGGCCCACTACCTGTGTCTTCAAACAGGCTATTTCACGGTTTTGCGTCATGGTAGTTCCAACATGTCAACGAATTCTAAGGTCTCTACAGCCTTAAATACACTCAGAAATCAGTTGTTAATTTCACTGGTATATGCTTCATGTAAATAAATTATACAACGCTGTAATTGCTATCTGGTCAATGATATTAAAAATGATGTAATTGAATTCAGACTGAATCACAGAATGTGCTTTTATTTTATATCAGGTAGGTTAAAACGATAGACTACGATGCTCTAATTGTTCCCTTGTGCCAGTGAACCGCCGATATCTGGAATGACGTTGATAATTAGGCTGAATTCTCATCAATATCTAATCCCAATAGTAGGGACAAAATAAGTTTCTGGGAAACTAACAGACGCCATCACGTAGCTTTGAATATAGCTACGATTGTTGCTGCGGTTATAGGCATATGATGTATATGTTCGGGGAAATCAAGAAACGGCACCACGCTAATAGTCACTTTAAAGCACTTCCATATATCAGTGGATCGAATGATTAGAAAGTGAAAGAGCAAACAAAATGAAAGCCGGTGAAATATTGATGATGATGATGATAGATGCATTACAGCAATTTCGTTGAAGATAATCCTCATGTGCCAAAAGCGGAGTACATACAGATGTCGTATGAACTGTTTAGCGTCTTCAATACTCAGGATCAGTTTAGGAAGAACTGTATAAGTAATTTTAACAACATAGTAGAATTTGACGGTAAGATATATGTTCTCAATGATGCAAATATTCGATATCAATTAGAATGTTTCTCCAGTATTAAGTGTCTCATTTAACGGACTAGACTGGGTCCTCATCATTTGATCAGTTAATATGACTGAAGACTTTTTTTCTCCCGAAGCTAACAAGGTTATTCTCGACCGAGATTATTGAGCGTTAACGAAATTTCAAAGGTGACAACTTCAGTTAACTGACATCGTCTATATCTATGGAACACCCAATAATTACAAATATCCTGAAAAAATGTCATCTTTTGAGGTTATTGCTACTTAGATACCATTGAGATAGACATTAGCGAGAGTAGTTTATTTGAAAGTTTAATGTGTTTTGATTTGTTGTTATTCTGAAAAAATCGAATCTAGCATTGTGAGAGATATGTTATTACTATAGTGTCATCATGGGTTAAGAAAAAAGAGAAGATCTGAAGATTTCACAAAAACAATCTTGTTTAGCACACCTTTCTGTGCAAAGATTCAAGTTGGAAAGCAAATATGAGTTTTCTTCATGTTCCTGATGGCTACCATAGGATGCATTGAAAATAGATCGTTAAAATATAATCTCTCTTGAGGGATAAGCTAAATACATGATTTTTTCCGAAGATTCGTTCCTCATTTTAGTAGGGGTGCCACATTTAAATTTAAAAACATTTATTAAATCGAGAAATAAATTTTCAAAAATTTTAATTTAAAATAAATTTTAATTCAAGAAATTTTAATATAATTAAATTTTGAATTTTGTATCATTTAAATTTAACTAAATTTAAATTAAATTATTTGAAATTCAAATTAGTTAAATTTTGAAAACTAGTAGAAAACCATAGTTTTTGACTTGATTGCTACTATTTAAAGTTAAATTTGAGTATGTTTCCTGTTTTCTAAAGTTAAAGCTAGTCATTCTTCTATGAATTGTGCTATTAAATACATTTTTATGAGTATCCTAGTATTTTGAAGAACAAAGATGACGGATCCTGCATAATCTGTAGAAAAATTTTGACTATTATGAACAAATATTAACCTAAAATACTAGGTTTTTTCCTCTCATTTTGTATTTACTACTGTTATAGTCACGTATTTTTCTCGTAGCAATGATGTGATCCATCCAAACAATTTATTGAATTTAAAATTTAAATTTAAAAAAATTTATTAAATCGAGAAATAAATTTTCAAAAAGTTACTTTAAATTAAATTTAACTTGATAGAATTTTATTTAAAATTAAATTAGCTTTTCACGAAGTTAAATTTAAATTAAATTAAATGTAAATTGACACCCCTACATTTTAGTCTTTGTAGTGTAAGCAGTTTCAACTAGGGGTGGCACTTTAAATTTAAGTTTAAGGTATTTTACCTTAACTTTAACTACTTTCTGGAAGTATTTTAAAGTTAAATTATTACATCTAGTCGTAATTCTTCACTTTTATTATTGAACTCGATGCTTAACAGTTATGCTCTCAAAATAAGATCAACTTTGAAGAAATTGTCTTCAAATTAAGGATGAACATCATGTTACAGATTCTAGTAATAGGGCGCTGCTATTCGATAACTGAAATTCAACGAATACGAGATAAAACCAATGGAATAACTTGTGTAAAATTTACCAAGGAATCGGCTTATGTTCCATTCGATTTTGTCATACGAGTCACTGCCTATCTTTCTCTGAAATTTCGACTTAATATTCTAGAATTGAAATGTTTTTCTTTTTGTTTGAATATGAATGGTACTCTCATAGAAAATATGCATATTGTAGCTATATTGGTTTAATTTGTAGCTGTCAAAATCCAATTAGGAGGTGGCACTTTCAAATCTTCACTCCATGCATTGGATTTATCTGATGTTCACAGTATTACCCTTGCCTTTTCTAAACACAGATTAAATCTTATCTTCGCTTTACGGGACGAAATATAGAACGTGAAGAAGAAGCATGAGTAACCAGAGGGGCGAATAGAGAGAAAGAGAAAAACTCATCGTGAACCGAACTTCCTGTTATGATTTCACCCTTAGCACTCAAAATCTTAAAGAGGAGCAGGATCTGTTTGACGAAAAAGGCAAATAACGATCTTGGCAATTAATCTGTACCTCTTTTGAAGATCTATTTGAGTTCAGGGATTATGTTATTGTTAGTCTTCCGATACTATTGAGAGTTTTCGATATCCACTTGAACCATCTACTTGCGAAATCTTTTGTGAAAGACTATCGTTAACCAAGATTACGACCAGTCTGTACACATTACATGTATTTGACCAATACAAATGTCGAAAAAAAGCCAAAACAAAAATACAGCTGCTTGACACTTACGATATAGCAGAGGGATAGAGATATAGTACATAATAACGTCTCCATTCCATGAAAGACGAGCAAACCCATATCTTAAATCATGGATGTAACGAACGCACTCACTGGGAATCTCTAGTATGAGTGTTGCCTTCGTCGGATGTCGTAACACGGTGGTAGCGTGCGCTGCTTCAATTTTTTAAATCTATGCAGTTGAATTCAAGTTTCCAGTTGGTTACTATTGGATGAAGTAAGAAATACTGTAGTTTGGTGTGAATAAATCATAATAGAAATATGAAATGATAACTATTCCTAATTATGAAGCCAGTTGTCGTCAATATATTGTCGTGTTCGAAAATTTGGAACATTTTGCTTGAATATTCATTATCAGTGACATCTTTTCTTGCTATAGCGCTTTAGTGTAGTGTGAACAATTGTATAATTAATAAAATATTGATGTTGAAATTTTCACGAATATATCACTAGTAATTATGTGAAATATGTTGTTATTTCATGGATCATGGCAGTTCTTTTTGCTCGTTTTTCTGTTAGTCAATTTTATCTTGCATATAATTGGTCGTTGTAGCAGCTTCACATTGATAATTGTAATACTGTTTTTGTATCGTATGATACATAAGTCACCTCGATGAAAGAGACAAGGTACACAAGGACGAATGCAAGCATAACAAAAATGTGCTTGTTATTGACGATGCAAAAAAGGAGAGTAACACGTATTATGCAGAGAATCTGGCCTAAGAATATTGTGTCGATCGCTGAAATTTTGATATTCATGTACATTGGCCACTGGCTAAGCTGTTTTTGGAGAAGGAATAATGATCCAAGTTCAAATTCCTCGATGGTTCAGTCACAATCATACCCGAGAAATTTTTTCGGATCTGATGTTTTTCATTCGAAATTGAACTCAAGTGTTAATAACTGCTCATCCCGATTTGAATGTTTTCACTCGCCATCTGTTGACAATAATCTGATCGACGATTCAAGCAAACTAGAAAGAGCTCATTCTAATGTTAACTTGATCAATATTGGTTTTGTTACAGATGGAAAAAATGTATTACAAATAAACGGGGTACTAAAAACACTTTTTCTTCATCGACAATCATTAGATTTTCTATCAATCCACATTGTCGCTCCAAAATCGAATTGGTCTCTCATTGATGGTGCATTTAAAACGTGGTATAGTATGGAAAATGGTCTGGGAAATTCATTCAATCATACTCTATACGATTCAAGCGAGTGTACAAGTACAGCAGATGTTTTCCAGCCCTATTTTGACGGTGTGTACCGTATTGCATTTTGTAAACTAGTTATTCCCTATCTGGTCAATCCATTTCACGTACCCTATATGCTATTGCTTGATTTCGATATAATTGTGGTTAGCAATCATTTTACAACCGATTGTTGGCTACAAGCCATCAAGAAACTTGAGGAACATCCGTACGCAATTTTTTCTATTGCTCATCAAGGTAGCCCTAAAACAAAGCCGCGCCCTTTTCCAATGCCATATTTGGAAGAATACAGAGCTCACTTTCACTTCAACAATGGTGTCATTCTTTTTCACATCGCCAGAATTCACGAACTGGATCAACTTGTAGAGCACAATACTACAGTATCAGTTGCGTATCCTGCTGCAAGTGGACCAAGGCGATGGCTACGCGATTTTCAACAGGTAGCGCTAAACTACTTGAAGAGTCGCCGAACAAAGCACTCGTTAACGCAAGTACTCTGGAACGTTTACATGGTTAATCGGGCTCACTGTTTTGTACATCTCAATCAAGCATGTAATTTTCAACCATGTGCGCAACATACATACGTGCACATGTTAAATGACTATATTCGTTTTCCAAATGTCATCGTAATTCATCTCTGGAGAGTCTGTGCAAAACTAGATGTCATTGAAAGTAATTATTTTACTACTCAGTATAAAGCAGTCTTGGAGCTTCCAATAAGCTATGTAAATCGAATAAACCCAACGCAGTTGCTTCAAAGAAACACTAGTACACCGACAGTTGTTTAGTAATATTTTTAACAAATTCGAAAGAAGCGGATATGGGCGCATGCAAGTGAATCAATTATGTCCTGCTGCTATTCGCTTAATTTCAACAGTTCTCACGTTTAGAAAAATGAAGTTTCACATGAAGTAACAAAATGCTACCCATACACGAAGAATATGTGAATAGAGTATGCCAGAGATGGAAGCGGTGCTGCTACGGACTTCAGACCACCGGGTTCATTACATACTTGATCTAATTATTTTTTTCCTTTCACTATATGTAATTATTCAGAATTTTTATTGGTAACAATCGTATGATGTCAGTTATATTGTGTCTGCTTAACTTTTGTTTATTTTGCTTCTTCAACGGTCTATTACCGGTAGATAGATACTAATGCCATCTCTAGAGTGAGATAGTCTATCAGCATGGAATTTTTAAAGATTTTAGTTAACATAAACATAAATTTTAACTAAATAAGAAGTAGAATATTGAGTTCTATTATACTAAACTGAAAAAAAGATGTCAAACGAAACCTTAGACGTTTCGCGGACCTGTACGGTACTATCTAGGTTTCTGTAGAATTATACAAAATCTTTACCGGGTTCAGCAACATCCAAGGTTTCGTCGAAAACGTTTTTGACGTTCAAAATGAAAAAGGTTCCGTGAAGACCCCTATTGAATTTATATTTCGCGAAAGGTCTCGACATAAACTCTTTCGAGTTCCGCATAGAGAAAGGTTCAGTAATATACCTTAAGCAGATAACGCATTCATCGTGCATCATATGAAAGTGACCTCTATTGATGGCTCGTACAGGATAAAAATAACAAGACTAATTAAACACCAAACCAGTGCTTTAGTAGTTTCCCTCATTCAATTTTCAGTAAAACCTATCGATAACTGTCACCACGCTATATTAAACAATTTCTATTGCATTCATCGCTCGTATTTCTCTTGCCTAATACGTATCATTCCCGTACAAATTTACACCTGATTTACGCGTCGAAATCGCTACTACTATCTTCAGAAGAAACGAACATTTCTTCGAAATAAAACTATCTGCAATATTACATCCTTTATTAAGCTGACCATTTGATTTTACATGCAAATGATTTTTGTAGATTGAATCATCAATTCTCTTATTCCAGTATCTTCACTGTTCAAAAATGAATTGCTGCATTCAAGTAAAACCACACCCAATTGTTAGATGTATGCGACTGACTATTTTACTTACCTGCTGAAATAATTTCTTTGTTCAAGGTTCATTTAATTTTATCGATTTTCCAATACAATCGACACATTTATCACATTCAACCTCAACTGTTGTTTGTATCATCACATTTTTTTTCTATATCATTAAGGATCCACCATCTCTTCGTTCAACAATACAAGTAACAACAGACAAATTCGTGCTTTATTTAGATTATGATTCTATTACTGAAACAACATCTATCAATCAAGCTTTATGCACTGTTATCTCTTTATATGTTATATTTGAATTACAATTTGGTACACACAATCGAATTATACATTTATTGCATGGAATATTGTTACAAGAACCAGTAGCATTAACGAAACAATTGCGATGGACATTAAAAGAATGGAAATTCCAAATTGGTAAAAATGAACGTAAACAAATAAGTCAAGTGGTAAACATTACATCTACCAATAATCAAACACATACAACCCAAGCAGACAAAAAATTTTAATAACGCGTGCAAACGCACATACTTTCTCGGACGTGTTCGGATGGCAATTGATGTTCCCGATTGTGTGTCACTAACGGCAAAAAGAATACGACGTGAAAACGCTTACTTTTTCATGCTAACTGAAATTGTAGCCATGTATTATCCGTAGAATTTTAATCGTTTTCACATCTGCTTGACTTGGACGCTTAAAAGACGTATTTCATCGTAGTGAAATATTTTTCACGTTTGAACGGCCTGTTTTTTAAACCTACTTTAAATTTATTATTTATAGATGTTTGTGAGTCACAATCGGGAACATCGATTAGCATCCGAACACAGTTAGTAAAATTACACGTTTACACAGTGTCTATTTTACTATACTGGTATATTTTCGCGTTTCAACGGTCGGTTTTTTTAATCTGGTTTAGATTTATAATTAACAGAAGTTTTTGACACACAATCGAGACCCTCGATTGACAGCCAAAAGCATCTGTTATTTTTCAGCGTTGAAACGCGAGTTGTGAGAAGATTTGTAACGTGTCAGTGTCACATGAACCTGTTGGGACAATCCAACTGCGACGTTGCATCTAAATACAAATAAATTAAATCATCAGGTTTCTACTTATGAAATCGAACTTACTACTATTACTTGGTAACCTGATGTTGGATCTAAATACAANTCCATTGCGTTTACACGGCTTTAAAGATTTAATAGAGATAAAGTGGGCGGCTACACGCACGATAATTCAGGAGTTACGGCGTTTACGCGACCACTTTTTCCCAGACGCGTTTAAACACTCAGAAAAGGCTACTTTACGGTGTTTACACGCGTGTTTGAGAAAGTTTGTCTGCTTGGGAACTTCGCTCATAGATTTACCACACTTAGAAGAAAATATACCTGATGATCTATCTTATGAAGAACCAGACGAAGATTTACTTGAAAACAAATCCGACTTTGAAGCATTAGTTGAAGTAAAACAACAATTGTCCGTAAATCTAGTTTCCGATGATGTTCAAAATCCAACAACGACATAAATAATTCTGCAAAAGAAATATCACCATCATCATCGATTGGTCCCGAACTACAAATGCATGCTTCATCAATACAAGAAGTAAACATTGAAACATCAACCCCGACGCCTCCGAATGAAAACAGTTTGTATTTAATCAACATCGAACAGAAGATTATAAGAAGCCGTAATCGAATGCCATCATCAAAACCACCAAAACACATTTCTTCGGCAAAAAAAAACACCAAAGAATATTTCTGCGTCACAAAAACATCCATATAGTCCTGACGCACGAATATCACCACGCTTAAAACGCGCGAAAAAAAAGAAAAATAAACATTGAACTTTTTAATTTCATTTTCATTAATGTTGATGGCTCGGCTTTCTTCTAAATATGCTATATTGTCAGTATAATAACTAAAGCGAACTAGAAGCTGCTCCGTAAAGATCTTCTACTATCATGCATATAAGAAAACATCTCTTATTTTTTTCTTACATTGATGGATTGCTTTTATTTCAAATAAATGTTGATCGAGTATCATCAATTAAATTCTATCACATGTAGCAATTAAATGATCCTCAACCACCACAACAAAAAATGAAACGTGCATCATTTGAATTTACGCTCTTCGTAAAATTTTCATAAAACTAAGTTATACTGAGAACTAAGAAATTTTTTCTTTTCTATTTTAGGTCGCGATGAATTTTAACGTTTGGAAGTTATTAGTAGAATTAATGAATTCATTTTTTTTCTGCTTTATGTTTATGAGCAATTTTAAGTTCGTAAGGTATCATTGTAATTAATGAATGCGTTGTTTCATTTTAGTTTTATGAAGAATTCTACGTTAGTAACTAATGGTATAAATTAATGAACTCCTTCTTTTCTGCTTTCGATCCTGTGGAATTCTGTTATTGATTAGTTTTGATGAAATGTACTTAATTGTTTCATTTTCGGTTTCGATTCCGGGTGGCTATAATACTAGTTTCGTTGCGTTGATTTGTATTCGAATTGATAGAGAACATGCTATTTCTGTTTTCCTGGAACGAAGCGGAAAGTGATTGTACACCGGTAACGATGGCCGAATCTGAATACGAAGGTAATTGGCATTGGGGACCTTAGCAAACGATAATCGGAATGTTGTTAGGCCTGTGCGCAGGTATGACGGATATCGCCGATTTCTGTCGGTTTTCAGCGAGCTGTGAAGGCAGTGGGTACTCAAGAAGTCTTGTATATTCTATATTTGAAAAGCTGCATTTGTAACATCGTATTCGTTTTGTGAAACCAGTCACCAATATCCCTCAGCATATTCTACCGAACCCATACACGAAACCTTTTTTTTTCATGTATAAACTCATGGTCTTTCACGGAACCTTTTTGAGTTTCGTGTGGCACCTTTTTTTGTGGAAGTCACATATATTTTCGAAGAAAATAGTGAGTGTAAGTTGAATTATTAGGTTTTTGCGGCTACCCTGTAGCCCACCCCTCCTCCCCCATTACAGACATAAAATATAAAAACACTAACGTAATAAAAATCTAGTTTCACTAATTAGAAATTATAATTACGATTTAATCTCTAATTAATCGTCAAAATCTGTCGTTTTTATTATTACAGACGTTAGCAACGAGTATATGCCACCACTACAGAAGCTAGCAACTAGTTTATGCTACTATTGCAGTCGTTACTTCTATCACCTACAATAAACAGATGAAGCTTTTAATCTTTTTTTTCTCACACGAATACCTTATTCTAGAACTTGAGTCCACTTTAGTCTATTTACAATTCGGAACTTTTCCATCCACTGGGAAGCTTTTATCAAATTTTCGTTTATGAAAAAATGTATCAATTTCTCACCTGATAATACAAAAAAATATAAATTTCTCAACAATATTGATAGCTACATCCTAAATACTGTTTAAACTATTATGATTCACAATATTTCTCAATGAAACCACTAAACACTTCAGCATACTGACATATTTTAAACAAAAAGTTTTTCATACGTTCTCTCTAGTGATATTTTCTATTGATAGATTCAATAATCTTCAAATGTTAAAAAGATTTTCTTATCTTATTTCTGAACAAAATATGATCTCACTACACTGAAAAAATAAAACTTCTATTTGATCAGTATCTAACTGACCGAAATATCTGAGTTCCACATTTTAGTCACAACGAGGCTGCGCTTAAAAGCTTTTTCAGTGTAGCCACGAGTGAATCTCGCTAAAATTCGATGTATCGAGACATTACAGAAGCAATTTGCATGCATCTCCGCCAAAGCTTTCAACCAATCTGTACTGCATACCACTACAATTTTGCGTTTCATTTTTGTAATTCTCGCCATGTACTTCTAGAAACATTCAACTAGTTTTATAATCGAGTCTCAATGAATCTCGTACACATGTAATCTAAGCTTAATCGTCTTTTCTGCGGGGCATCTAGATAATTTGAACAGCATTTCTGTGCCGATGCTCACGTTTTGTTAAACAATTTAGAACATTATTACGTCAGGATAATTAATATTTGAGCTGTACGTTTCATTTTAGAGTCGATTCACAAAAGCCCTAAGCGTTAAGAGTAAAATGTTACCACATAATGCCCAGTAGTTTGATTTCATTTGGTACAAGATCTTATGAAAATTCCAAGGGGGGAAAAGCGGATCCTGGTGGACCCTATACAGTGTTGAAATATACTAGAGAGCCGTTGTTAACATTCAATTTAAATCTTTACTTTCATACAAACGTCGCCTTAGATTGTATATACAGTTAAAGAGCTATTTTTTCAACAATTCTGGTTATTGTCTTTTTCTCATCATTGCCTACTTTACAAGGTAAATCTGCTTGATTTTTAATATTGTACAGGAAGCTGCTATAATCATTATTGTTATCAAATAAAAAATTCAAATATATGTTGTATGACGAATCGCATGGGATACAGAAAATCTGTATTTTTCTCACAAAAAGGTAAAAAAAGATGGAATAATTTATAAAAACATTTTGAAGTATTGAATCAAATCTATTTCAGAAGATGTTATTATATACTCAAATTTTACTTCCAACTATTCTCATACTAATTTTCATAATATTTGATGTATTTTTGAGTTAATCTTCTTGCTCTTCCACAAAAGAAATAAGCAGTCACAACAGTTAAAAAAACGAATATTTTTCTTTTAAAACTTTTATCTCTGTCGAGTAAATTTCTTGTCTTTATATATAGAAGCCAACATAGATAATCTTTATGAATTTAAATACTTTACCTGGTGAAGTTCTTTTTTACTCAAATGATCAATTTTATCAATTTATTGAAAACTGCTTAGGTGTTGATCAAATGAATTTATTGAAAGTACAATCAATAAAAAATATTAGAACATTAATAAAAATACCAGATATTTTTTCTGCTCTTACTATTAAATGTAAAGAACTTGCTGATCTCAAAAGTCGTTTATGTTTCGTCGATGAAGATAATAATAGTATAATTATTAAAGTAGGTGTTAAAATGGACTTTGATAATTTAATAGCCATTCTGAAGGAGAAGGATTACAAATATTTAAAAGGAACGAAAAAGTCAAAGTCATCATCTTCTTCTACCACAAACTCTCTTGTTTCGAATACATTTGTATTAAATACAACCAATTCAAATATTATCGATTCCCCTCTAATATCAATACCTACAACAGCAATTAATCTGATGTCAGTAAATGATTATATTCAAGTGATTGCTAATAGTATTGAAAAATACTCAATCAATACTTTTCAGAATATTATTTTAAAACACGATGATGCTTACATGATACATTTAAATCAATCCGGTACATGTATTGATGGATACATTAAATGTCATTGTAAATCAGCAATAAAACTTCCATTTCGTTTAAATACTAAATCATTTCAACTGTCACATTATTTTAAACATTTGAAACATAGTCTTTGTTCTATGATGAAAAAGAAAAGACAAGAATTGAAGAAAAACAGTAATTTATCACACAATATTAATCAAAATAATATCCTTCCTAGCCTTGACGATGAAATTAATTTTGATGAAGACAGTATGGATAATTTAAATGAAAATTCACAAATTACCACCAATAAGCCAATATCAACTTATTCTGATTCTTCAAAGGAAAAGAGACCAACATCATCATTATTAGACAGTGCAAAAAGAAAAAAATATCTTAGTCTCTAACTAAATTTAATTTCGAATTTGTTTGTGTATACTTCATATATATCTTTTTTTATGAATTTTACTTGAATTTATAGACTTATTTTAAATAATTAATGTACATCAGCTTATTTTTGTTGTTCTATATTTAAGTAAAATTTAACTTTCAAATAAAGTTGGAATTAAGTTTGTTGAAACATTCGTTCGTGTCCAACAATTCAATTGAAAATTAATTGATTTTCTAAATAAGAAATCTCTTGCAGATATTTTTTCTTTATCCTACGGTTATGTCTAGTTGGTAGCAAGATTTATTACCATTTCTTGATGAACTTCCAACATACAGTGATGAAGTTTTTTATAATTTCGTCAAAAACTCTGTTGGTGTTATTGAAGGTGATATTCTTGAGATACAACGAATAAAGAATGTTCGAATTTTATTACAAATACCAGATGTATTTTCATTTTTTCAAAAAAATAATAAAGATATACTCAAGTTAAAAGAACAAGCTTGTTTTATTGATGACGATCCAAGCTGTGTTGTACGACCAGGAATTCGATCTAACATTGAACAATTTATTGAATTATTAAAAAATCACTACAAACCAATAACAGAACCTAATCATGCTCAAGGAGAGAATAGTTGTATGTGTGGTTTTCTAAATATTAATAATGGAAATACAGAACATCAATCAAAATCATTTGTTCATATTTTTGTTAGTAATCTCATGAAAAATATTAATGGACCCAGTAACAATTACCAATTTGATCCTATCGTGAACAAATTACGCATCAGCCTTTAATATATTAGCTGGTCATCAAGCTTATGAGTTTGTTAGAATAAACTTACCAGGCTCTTTACCATCTATCACTACATTAAAGAATTATAATCAAAATATCAATTTATATTTAAATGAAGGGGAATTTAGATTTGATTGATTCAAATCGTGTTTTTGCGGTACGTATTTTGGAGTAATATATCATTTGAGAGGAAAAACGATGTGATTAGTTTTGTTTAAATCACCATGAACTTATCAGAAGTTGTTAGTATATGGGAATGTTATTAAGAGAAGAAAATTTCTCATGGATTAGGTTTCGAAATAAAAGAGAATTCAGTCAATTTCGTTGAACTTCAGTAAATTCCAGTAAATATTGGTCTATTTATTTTTTCTTTAATTTTAACATGAATCAATATTCGCTATAACAGATCAGATTCAACTAAAATTTATCTATCCGACTAGTAAAAATTACAAGATTTGATTACGATTTTACTTTTCTAGTGTGAGGATTCAACCAGTGTTGTTAGTTCAGTCTCTTGTGACAGTAAAACAAATTGTTTCATTTGTTTTGCACCAAAATTAGTAAATGGCTTACCGTTGATCAATCAATTTCAAACAAATAGTTTTAATGAATTACAAGAATGGTCTCAAGAATTAGAGAAATCTAAATCAATAAATGCAAATTTAATTGAACCATTATTGAATAAAAGTTCTTCGTTAATTCACTCGAGATCGTATATAATTGCTTCTTATGGATCTGATAACAAATATTCAGGTTTGAAATTTTTCTCGTAAATGGATTGATATTTATGTAAATATATAGGCATTGATGTCCTTCGTAAATAGAATTATATATATAATGAATGCAGAAAAAAAATATTGTTGTTATTGGTTTCTTAAGCGATTGCGAAGGAAGATATTTGAAAGCAATGCAAATATCTTTAGGATTGTTTACACACACACACCAAACATTGATTTAATAAACGAAAATAATAATTTACTTCAACTTAATATTCCTACAACTTGGAATTCCTTTTTCATGAGAACTAAGCAAATCTATCTTTGCATGCAAGATGGATTCCATCTTGCAACAAAAACTCAGAAATCGACTTTTATCAAGTATTGCAACATTATCTATCAACAATCATCAGATTAATATTAATGATTTGTCTTTTATAATTGACAACTATTCTAAAATTGATCATAACTTAGTGAAATCTGATGTTTTCCCCGATGATCGAGAAAATTTCTCATCTTGCGTAAAAATCACGTCGAATGATGTATTGAATTTATTGAAAGACATGAATGCTAAAGGCACTTATATCTACCGATATTTGTTGAAATTAGTTATCATTACATATATTGAAGCAGATACCGATATCTTCGTACGTTTATGCTACGGTTGGATTCTTGCATTTTCATATCGGATGTGGTGGTAAATAAAAAGAGTTTTTCTATTTTTTAAAGTTATTTTACTATTGATTTCTAGGTGTAGTATTCAACTAGAAGAAACTTACTCTCAACAAGAAAAAGATAATCATTTTATTACTAGAGCTGCGTGGTTATCTGTAGAAATTAATATTCATTGTTTAACATCATTAATAATATTAGTATTACAAGGAGTTTTACCATCTTCTTCTCTTCATACTCATCTATTTAGTAGTCAACCATGCGAGAGTACATTTCGTAGTGCTCGTGCTCTATCTAGCACTTTCTCTTCAATAACAAGTTTCTCAGTATCTCAATTTCTAAATAAAATCGAAAAAATTGCAATACTAAATCATTTTAAATCAACAGAAGGAGATGATGTTAAATGCCCATTAAAATTTCCAATTCATCATAAGAATAAACACAAGAAGAGAATATCATCTACAACTAGTTTAAGTTCAGCATCAACAACAATAAATGATATAGAAAAAATTATCATTAAAGCTTATCATGAAGCAAAAAAAATCATGAATTCCTTACACTTATTACAAATTCTTGAAGAAAATGATCTCGGTGATATTCAAAAATTAAATTCATTTGTTTTCGACCAACTTGATTCAAAATATAAAGTTGATTATTGTTACTTCAACGAAATTGATCTTCAAGATAGTGCAGATGATACTAATAATATTCAAAATGATACTGAAAAAGATGTTCAAATTGAAGGTTATTATTCAGATGACGACAATCCAGATGATTATCATTTTATAACATCAAAAGAAACCTTCCAAGGAATGAAAATACTTGACAAGATTGATCTAACGAAAAAGAATATTTATTTTCATATTATGATTAATAATAAACCAAAGTATTTACATAAACAAACGGCAGCACGCCTTTTAACTAGTAGTAAAAATTGTTTATCGTCGGAGAGATTAACACGGGTACAACAAACAAATAAACAGAAATAATTAGCTTCAATTTCAATTTCATTGTTTTTCGTTAATTTTATATATACTTGAATAAAATGAACTTAATAATAGTAGGCTTATATTTGTAGATGATTTACGATAAGACATACTTCATTTAGCAAATCATTTGAAATTTTACAGGGAATATATACGATGGGATTTTATCGTGTCCTAATGGATCCTAGGATCCACCAGGATCCGCTTTTTCCCGCTTGGAAAATTCTGAAACGTAGGACGGGTCTAACCTCATAAAAAAAGCAAATATGTATAAAGTACGTCAAAACAGAGGTGCTAAGAAATTAAATAAAGCAACAGTGGAACGTGGCTCATCACCGCGCACTGACAATCATTCATTACTTGTAACGAATTCAACAGGTTTTTTTTATAACTTCGTTTCACTTTTGTTGAGTAATTAAAACAAGTTGCATTTGTATTACATTTCTCTAGTAGCTCCACCTGTACGGTAAGCATAACTTACAATTCACATGTATTAGTTATATGAATAATATAAGGCTGAAAACCTTCACTAAATCAAGCTGATGGTTCTGCACTTCGTTCATTTGAAGAATCTCTCTTCCTTTTTCTAGTTCTTAAGAATATAGATATATATATAATATAAAATTTATACAAGAAAAATATGATAATTAAGAATGTAACGTTTTGACAGTCGATGTTGCTTTCATCAAACTTCTTGGTGCGTGTAATTTTTTTGTCACTTTTTTTTCGAATATTAAATATGCAATAGTGAGAAGGCAAGACGTTATACTAGTAAGATAGATAGATTATTTTTCTTCCTACGCCCCACAGTCATATGCATAACATCCGATAAAAAAGAAAAAATTCATCCATCTAAATGCTTGACGAAGGCAACTCCGATTGTCGAGACGTCATATTCTTAATTATAATATTTTTCTTCTATAAATTTTATAATGCTTTTCATTGGTTTAATTAACTAATTTTATTTTTATCTTTCTAAAAGTTAAATAGAACGAAACTTTTATTGAGTTAATTGAATTGAATCATTTTAAAATTTCAAGTTAAATATATTATGCAAAATCAGGAAAAAAAAGTAAGAGAAACTCTTAAAATTAACGATTGATCATAAGTTTCCTCATTAATCGAAATGCATTTTTACATTTTTTCAACGCAGTAACTGCACTAATTATTTTTAATATTTTTTGTGCGTGACATCGGCATATTTTAGTACTGCACTAACTACTCCTTATTGATGTATAAAAAATATTGTATCAACGCAGTAGCTGCACTAATTATTTTTAATATTTTTTTGTGCATGACATTGGCATATTTTAGTAGTGCACTAACTACTCCTTATTGATGTATAAAAATATTGTATCAACGGTTGACTGCATCTGAAGTAGTTTGAAATTGCAGGCAAGTATGTGTTCGAACAAAACACGAATTTGAGTTGTTTTTGGCTGTGAAAAATTGTAGTGACGAAAGAATTGTTAATTTTAATTATTAAGATTCTAGATTTACAGGAGCAGACATAGTTATTACGCATTTATGCGTAAAAATTTTATTCTTTCTATTTTTCAAAATTTATTTTTGATGTTTCACCAACGATATTCGCGTGATCTGACTGTTTTGGTATAATACAACATAAATGATAAACAAGCACTTACATGAAAATCTGCATGTTTCTTTCTTTCATATCTTATATCACAACAACAACAGTCTGAAAATGCCACCATCGTTAATGAAGCGCCACTTAAAAAAAACACGATAGCGTTTTTCATCAGCGTGAGATCTTGATAAGCTATACCATGTACGCTTTAATTCTTGAAAAAAGACGTTGGTTTGTATACTCTAGTAATTCCGAAGCGAGCCATTTAAAATAGTTATCTTTCAAAAAAATAGACCTATGGATCAGTTTTTTCTAAAAATCATTCATGCAGCTAGCACGGTTGTACAAGTTATATGGTTCTAGAACATTAGCCTTTCCAAAAGCTCCAGAATTGATACATTTTTTAAAATCTATTGCTCGAGTTCGAGAGTCGCATTCGGTAATAAACAACCTTAAATTAATGAGCATTCGCCCCTACTCCTTGAGTAGTGTTAGAAAATTTTCGACTCTGCACAAACGAAGAAAGCAAACCGAAACAGTACGTTTGATAAAGCCTTTGAGTAGCTTGAAGAATACTGAACTGTAGAACTTCACCTTTTCCTCTCGTGGCACAAGGAAGTCAACCATTAATAACCACATCGAAGACTTCTCAAACTGAGATTGTATTTTGAGATTGTAATTCGGAAATTCAAACATTAAGGTATAACATATACGTTTAGTTATATTAAAAAGCACTTACGTCGATGGAACCAAGCGTTCCCCGAATTCTATTGAGCTTTCATGACATCCCATTTCGTCCCACAGCTTTCATACAAATAAGACGCCTTACGCCTATCGCATTCCGAGTGACAAAAATGTCGAGGAAAATCTTTTGAAGTGGATATTAGAAATCGAATTAGCAAAACTAATAAAAAGGATTTCATACTGGACCATCTTTATGTTTTGTTTGGTGCAGCACAGAATCTATTTTTCAGTGTGTGGCTTGAGCTGAAAACTGTTGAACGCCTATATAGTGACCATTGTTCGACATCATTTTAGAGAAAGTAAATCTTAGCCAAAATTTTCGAAATTTATACCAATGTCGCGTCATTCTTCAAAAACTGGAACAACAAATATTAATAGAAAGTAGACATCTCCATCAGGACTCATTGAGCTAAGAGATCAGCAATTTCCCCTGAAATCCGGATTGTTTATGAATTTACTCGTTAAAATAAACTAAAAGTTTCGTAGGACTTCTACTAATATTAAACGCTGCTACTTAGTTGGCAAAAATATATAAATGGAGAGTGAGAAGTGTTTCTAGGATGCCGAGAGATTTTGATAAAATCTGAAGCGCATTGAAACTTTAGTAGAACGTGAACTGTAAAACTGTGATATTGATGTTCAACAAGAGAATTTAAGTCTTTTTTTATTCCTGCGTATTTACGTATAACAAACAATTATTTGATAAAAATAATCGATGAAAACCCAGTATGATGAGAAAGTGCGATGAGTTATCATTTTCAAAGCGTCTCAATAAACTGTAATCTGAAAAGTTCTACTTCGTGTTACATATTGATTGAAAATTCGATTGATTCCCAATTTAGCTATCAGATAATAATGAGTAAATAGAGCGAGTTGTGTTTGCAAGGCGTTAGATTCGAATCGAAGAATGGTACACTCCAGAGATGTCCACGGGACAGGGTTACCTTGCCCTGTGCCCTGCCCTGTTCTGCCCTGAGCAGGAACAGGGTAGGCCAGGGAAATTGCAGGGCAGTACAAGGTGAGACCTTATACCCTGCAAAGTGAAAACCCAGTTTTTGGATTTTCGTTCTGAAGAAACTTTTCCTTTAGTTCGCAAGGCTGAAAAATAAGAAAATAGACTCCAGAGAACGATACAAACTGATAGTCAGCAGTTTTTTTTATCTGACCTGGCCCATATAAGCCACGGCCCGTTTCCACTGAAGCTGCTTAACCAATGGTCGCCGGTTGACTCGTTTTTTTACGCTTGATAGAGACAAGTGTTTCATGAGTTTTCACACAAGTCATTTCAAAATATTCTGTTCTGTTCTCGAGATAATAAAATTTTTCTAAGAGTATCCTCATCAGAAATTAACATATTCGTGATTTTTTCTGAGATTACACCTCTTCAAGAAAATGTTCATTTTGCTTGAAATGTTCAATATAGATCTATCGTTAATTGAGATATTTCCCCTGAAAATATGAGCTCAAACTGATTGATTATTGATGAGTTGACCTCGAGCACCGGTAACATTGAAAAGTTCTGTTTTTTTTTGTATTTTGTGGGTGCACATTTTCATTTATTAGATAATGCTGGCGAGCTAAAATTTTAACCACAGAGATCTCCTTGACTAAGTCTGATTAAAAATTTAGCTCTCCTGTTAGTCCTCATCAATCGGAAGCCGTTGTAAAAATGCGATTTCCATCAAAATCATGGCGATGAAGAAATCACATTTTTCATGAGGATTCCATACAAACATGAAACTAGCTGGAGAACTAAATGTTTTCAATGTTACTGGTACTCGAGGTCAACTCATCAACAATCGATCAGTTTGAGCTCATTTTTTCAGGGAACATACTTCAACTAAAGATATATCTGCATTGAAAATTTCAAGCAAAATGAATATTTTCTTTAAGAATCATGGGTCTCAGAAAAATCTAATGTCTCAAGAATGGGACAAGATTTTTTGAAACAGTTTTCGCATGAATTCATCAAACATTTGCATCTATCATCATAAAAGTGTCGATTAAATCGACCACCGCTGATTAAGAAGGGTCCATCGTGATTTGTCTGAACTGGCTCTAAAACAAAAAAATTGTTCTATGATACAATGAGAAATATGTCTTTTTATTTTGAAATATATCAAAAATTACAACATAGACACTATTTCAATTCAGCAGGGTGCCCTGTCCTGCCCTGCTGAAAACCGACAGGGCTGGGCAGAGCAGACAGTGTGTTGGGGCAGGACAGGGTGCAAAAAGTTGCCCTGTGGACATCTCTGGTACACTCTCACTTGTGAGACCTCTGAGCTCCTATGCAATTTTTTGAAATTTGCGAGTGGGTGTTTGATGCAGCACTGTGCTAAACGCACTCATTGCATCCATTATTTTGCTGTCGTAAGCATTCACACCAGATATAAGTTTTTTTAGAAAATAATCAAATGTATTGAATCACCAGAGAGCTATTCATCCAAAGCATGATACATTTTTTTAAGAAAGTGAACGCTATTCATTAAACTTCTTACGTCGAAGAAATCTTACGCTTACTATACAGATCCATCACTGAATTCCATTAACTCTTAGTATGTTAAAAGCTACACTTAATATGACCCAAAAATTAAAACCCAAAAGAGCATATATTCTGATTGAGTGGTAGTACACGAGGAGACTCCCTACCTTGTTTATAATTGACGCAAGACATTAAAAAGAATCTAGGGAAACATACATCAATACATAATTCAATTTTCTCACAATAGTTTCAGAACAATCGGTTGTAGAAAAAGTATCTATCCTTATTGAAGGTAAGACACACACTAAATAAAAATGCGTCGACTTTATGTGTCGCGAATTTTTGTGTCGCACTTATAATTAAAAAAAATGTGTCGTATATTTTTCGCGTTCTGTCTGTCGATTAGTCGTTCACCGTTTTGTTATGAACATACAGCGACATATAAACAGCATCGTTGAACGAATGAAAGATAAGTTTTCAAAATAAAATTTTCTTTTAAATTAAGTCTTGATTGCTTTTCAATCAAGGAAATGCCATCCCGATCCATGATCTGGGAAGGACTACACTGGATGGTCTGATGGGAATAGAACCAATGCCAAATCAGCCAGATCTGAGGATCTGATGCGATTAAATTTTCAAAAGATAAGGAAATATATTAAATTAAATTCAAAAAATATTGAAATACGCGTTACGAAAACGACCAATAGAAAATGTGTCGGATGTGTTGTGAAAAATGCGTCGTCGTCTTGCTGCACAGAATGTGTCGCAACGAGCACCTCGTGCCGTGTTTGAATGTGTCGTGCTTAGTGTCGTAAACTACGACACTTCCGATTCATTTTTATTTAGAGTGCAAACTCCATCGAGATCATGAAATAGCATTAATGATTGGCTACAACGAATTTTCCTCATTAGCTGATATCAGTTTCAGTTAATATGTTAAGGTTCGATTTTACAATATGAAAAGATAACATGCGTATTCCGATGTAACGAAAGCTGTAGTTAAAATGAATATTTCTTTTTGAGCTAGCATATTATCAGCAATTCTAAATTTGTTTTGCAGTTCTATTTTAAATAAAATAGAAATGTATTGAAATTATCCTATATCACGAAGAAAATATCCAATTCAGCTGGCTTCGAGCTTTACTGCTCAAAGAACGAAAATTCACTAGTAATCATAAAGTTTCATATTGCATTTTTTTTATAATCTGTAAAAATGTAATTATTAAAATGTAAACTCTTTGCTTAACTGTAGTTTGCATTGTAATTAACACTTTCTAGCTTGAGGGTATCGTACTGTGACTATTTCTCACACCCGGTGCAGCTGATCTGTTTAAGACAAGTAGTTTTATATATCCCCGAATTCTTAAAAAATCAACTTAGAGCTGAATTGATACCAATATGTCAAAATCATCAAGCTTGAAATTGCTTTATCTATTTTCTTGATCTTGCAATAGACTCATCCTCAGGGAATAAGAGGATTTTCTAGCTATAATTATGAATAATAATGGATAAAGTAGTTTTCTTTTTGGTCTACTGGGGTTTTCATCGATTGATGAGTATGTGCACGCAAATTCGTTTAAGAGTGTTCACTACTTGTTAATGGTCAGACGTATAAGTAAAACGCCCGGAAAAGGTCACGCAAACACACGAGTTTAATTCTGATATCCGTAAATTCCTTTACATGACTTTTATCACAAGTACGTTGAAGCGCAAGTCCTACTTATCTGAATATATGGCACCGAAGAGGCATCATCAATAGTGTGTTGTGCTCCCTCTCAAATAACTATAATAGCATCCTTCATGTTTATATGCTTCTCAAATAATGCGAATAAGTTAAGTTCTATTTATCGTCACCTGTCGTTTTCTTTCTAGAATTTTTAATTTTCACGAATCATGCTACGCTCTTATCTCAATACGCAGGATCGGCGCACTTCTATTAATCGTCGAAAATATAGGTATGTATACGACTACACTATCTCAAAGATTTTTGATAACAACCCAATATACTAAACTCTTACGGTGACAAAACATATTTCCTCCTCTATTCTTACAAACATTCCATCACAAAGTATATCAAAAAATAATTCAAGGTTAATAATAAAAAAAACCTTTAAAAAAACGTTCGACTTTCGATCTAGTCACATCCAACGGCATTTCTTTTTAAAACATAGTGAATTACAAAAATAAAATCATGTAATTTAATATTATGTATGTACCAGAGCTGAGCACAGGACAAGACTGCCCTGCTGTCTTGGTGTCCTGTCCTGCCGCCCGACAGGGCGGGCTTGAGCGCAGGACGAAACAGGACAGGATGAAACTAGAGCTTTTTTGTGTTTCAGATTCTACCATGACACATTGCAATGGTAGAATATGATAAGAAAACATTCCACTGTTGATATGTATGTTCTCTGTTTAATATGTTTTTTAACAATTCTTTTCGATTGTTGTGTATATACGGGTATATATTTTTTTGTGAATATTTGATTCAATATGTGTTTGATTTGTATCATACTTATTATATCAAGTACTTTTTCATGTTCTCCTTTTATAATATCATTCTTTATATGTGAAGACAATACTGCTAGAATCCTAGATTATATGTAAATTTTATTTCCAGTAATGAGAGTGTCATATAAATAATAACTCAAGATTGTTTCCTCTTTTTTGTATTTAAGATGGTATTGCTTCAAGGGAGAAACGGCGGACTTTTGGACTTAAAGTTACTTTGAGCTACTTTAAGCTACTTCGATTTACTTCGAAGTACTTTAAGCTATTTCAAGTAATTTACTCTCACCTACTTTTCAACTTCACATTTACTTGAGGTTATCTGAAGTTACTTGTTCTAACTTTGTGCTACTTGAGTGATACTTTTAGCTACTTCAAGTATTGGACTTTGACGTACTTTTGTACTTCAAGTCCGCTGTTTTCCCCTTGTATTGTTTACTAAAAATTCAGTTTTTGTATTTGAAATTAAATGAAATATACTGGCTACAATGTAGAAAATTAATTAACCTAGGCTTGGATTACTGACCGTAAAAATGATAAATATTGCTGTTATCACATCCATGATGAATACAAAACAGGACGGTCCTGGTGTTCTGTCCTGTCCTGCCGCTCGCCGGGACAGACCAAGATAGCAGGACAAATCAGGACAGGACGAATTTAGAGTTTTTGTCCTGTCCTACCGCCCGCCAGGACGGACCAGAGTATCAGGACAGGGTAGGACGTGGCAAAAAAAACTTGTCCTGTGCTCAGCTCTGGTATGTACAACACAACATTCGAGACTGAGTAAGAAATCATTACAGTATGAAAATGCAAAAATGACAATATGTCGAGTACTTCAGAATAATCTGAACAATAATTGTACCCTTCTAGCTATGCGTTATTTCATTTAATACAACACATAGAAGATCAAGAACCCGAGGTTCAAGCAGATCAGCTTTGACAGGTCTTGCCTACGTGTTAAGATCTGTCTAATTCTTTTCACATCCGTGTTCTAACAATACAAAAGTGTTTAACAGTTCAGCGAAATTTACATTTAATATATACTATGAAAGACAAACTATAGATAGCACATATAGCAACATGGACTTCTTTCTTTTTAAAGAAAATATAATATAACTTCTATAAATTTTCGAAATTTTCTATTGTCTTTGTCGAGAGTGAGAATGATGTTATTCGTCTTCGAGTTTTTATCGATTTATTGGTTCGAATTTCTCTTAATTGTAATTAAAATTATTATACATATTTCTCTTTAGCTATATTTCTTCTCGTTAAATCAATGAAGTCTTTCTAGATGATGACAGTAAAAACTTCTGATGTAAATTTTTACTATACGATGTTTTTCATTAAGATGCGTCCGATTTTTAAGCATTCCATGTAACAAGTTTTTTACACCATTCACGTGTTAAGACAGTTCGCTTTTATTCTAGATTTAGTATGAACTTATAATTACCAACATTGAAAAAGAAAAAAAGTAGGTTGATATTTTCTTTGAAAAGTTTTTGAATGAATCTGTTTTCTGAACAGAACACTCTACTTACGAGATAAAATTTACACATTGAGCTAACCAGTAGACAGGCCTAATCATCTTCTTATTGCATATGCATTCAAAAAAAAACATAATCATTCCAGACAGAAGAAATTTAAAGTAGGAACGGTTTCGACATGAATTCTATGATGCAATAAAACATGAAGTAGGGATGTGAATTTATTACTATTATTATTAATAACAAAATAATAACAAATAACTTTGTTTTGAAGAACCCTCAACTTGAATTGCTGTCTATCTCAACCATGTAAATTCTGCTGGGTTATGTTTAAGAAATGAGATGAAGACTGCTATGAAGGCAATCCGATTGCATGTATGAATACTTTTCACACGTTTTTCACTGTTTAAAGCAACAGAAGCTGACTGACTTCTGAGGAAAATCTCATGATTCGAATCCATTGAACCCTACTTGATGCGTTCATATAACTGAAGTTCAGTAAACTGTCCGAACAAAGGAAGAATTTTCATTTTCAAATACTTGATAAATATCTCTGCCAACAATTGATCATAATTTAGAAGCGTATGGCGCTTGTATATAGACCAGTGCTTATTTTAAAAGATCCCAGTTGTTATCGTAAAGGAATAAGGCTGTGGGCGTATGTTTTTCTTCCCCCAAACCAACCCACACCCACACCTTTCAAATAATTCGAAGGTTTCCAAAATCTAAATCAAAGAATGAATTCGTGTATAAATCGTTTTTTCTACTTTTTTCCAACAGTTAAAAGACCATTGAGAACAAAGTCACCTTGAAGTTTTATGGATAACAGCTTCGATTTCTCCCTCCCTCATTCGAATACGAAGTTAAGAATCTAATTAAGGACATAAAAATTCTACAAGCGCTATTGTCTGCTTGTCGGTGTTTTCAGGTATGCCGAGTGGGGTTATTTCGTGGCTATGTGTTGCACAACTTGTGTATTGATGTCTATAGCCTCATTGGTCACTATCAGTTTAATTCCTCTCTATCTGTCAAGTCCCGCAGTGAACAAAGTGTACAATCCGACAGAAAGTAAGCATTTTTGTAGTTGAACAAAATTCACGGACTCTATTATTCATATAAGGTGAAGCGCTTGATACGGAGTATGTAACCAACTATGAACTGCCTGTTGGCATGGATTCATCGTACGCTCTCATAACGAACACACAAGAACTTGGCTCAGAAGTATAATTTAAACCATCTAGGTATTCCCTCTTTCTCTATTATATCTTTTAGATTACTAGTGCCTTGAAGGCTGATTCAAATACTATTTCTGTTACAACAGCGGTGGTCAGTTCACGAAACACAAAATCGTCTGTTCGTCGGCGTCGCCTGTATATATGTTTTCATAATCATGCTCTTTCTAGTTTGAAATGTATAAATTTATATTTTTAGAACATCTTGTGCAGCTGAAACTGCATCGGCAGGTTCTCGGGTACAAATTAATTTATTAATTAAATATCCGCGTCGATGTGGCCATAGTTCTGTATGCAAAGCGAAATTTCTAGCGACTCTAACAAAGCTCTTGGAAACTTTGCCAGTTTTTTCTCCGACTATCGAATTGCAGAATGGGGCAGTCAGGGTTTCAGTGCCATTACAAATATGCAGTGTAACTGTTCAGGAGAGAGGTATTGAGCAAACTATGAAAGAAATGATACTTTCATTTCCTTTTTACATTAAGGAGCAACCACAGCAACATTTCCGCCAACTACTAGCACTACTATAGGTAAGCAAACGAGAATATACACTAGAAAAATTCATGATGGGATGTATATATAATATTTTATGGAGTTGCATTGATGCTTTAATCTCGATATCTTCTCTTGAATTGTACTCATAATCCCACGAAATGCAATTTACACATCCTATCTACATTTTTTGTGGAAAATCCTTGAAACAAACACATCTCAAGCGCAGCTTAGAGCCTCTTTCTATAGCATTAATCTTAACAGTGAGTTAAATCTCAGTTAAATATAGTTAGAATATTTCAAGAAACTTTCTTCCTGATATGAAACAAACATCAAAAATATTTTCTTTCTGTCTTTACAGCATGTTCTGACTCAGCTGGATATTTTGAACAAGGTACTGGTCAAACATGCCAAACTTACATTGATTATGGCTTTTGTAATGGATCAAGTGTTGTCACTACTTCGGGTATCAATTCAGTCTCAGCACAACAGAATTGTTGTTCGTGTGGTAATTATTTGTAAAGAAAGGAATACTGATTTTTCACCCTCAATTCTTTCTTTGTTTTGTAGGTAAAGGGACAACACAGACGACTGGATGATAAGCATGTAGCTATTATGCTATTGTACAGCTGACTTCTTTAATTATTTTATATGAACTAGCTGTCATCAAAAAACATTTTCGAAGCGTATCTCATCAAAATACTCAATTTTGTAAATTATATTCTAAAAACTTTTTAAAAGTTTGATACGGTTCAGACGTTTATCTTAATGGCAAGCTTCATCGTCGAATAGTTGCTTTTTTAGCATCCCGTTAAGCGTCAACCGACTCTACTTTTACTGCTATTTCTTGTTCATGGACTAAGTTAATTTATCTTGCTGCTATTATTAGAGACGGCACTTTCACTTTCGTTTTACTTTCAGAAAGCGAAGTTTTTACTTTACTTTCATAAAATAAAAGGCAATTGCAATTGTTTTACTTTTCTCTGTTCTGTTTGCTTCATGAATCACAATGGATTTCAACTCGTATGTACGTGCCAGAAAAGTTGAGCTTATAGTAGATTTTTGATAAATATGAATTGCCGATATATTGTTCTGCGCCTCATTATTTTCAACGAATATCTTTTAGAATAATGATCATTTTATTCGGTTAAAAACACATAAAGAATAGTATAGATGGAAATGAAATCCTTAGTGTCAGATAATGAATATCAATGCTCCTAAATGTTTTGTTTTTTCTCTTTCTCTCAAATCTTACATTGGAAAGAAAAGCAGACACTCACTTTCTAAAACGGAATACGCCAAGAATAGTAGTGAAGCTCTGGAACACAACATCGATTCCTAAATTGAAAAATCGAGAGCGAATGCTGAAGGATTTTTGTTAGAATGTTTAGAAATCACTATGTAAATTAGAAAAGCCTTCTCCCTAGACTGAAAGGATAGGGTCTAGAAACCGGAATTTAACTGTGTCTGTCTGTCTGTCTCTGTCTGTAACACCGGCACAAATGACCATTTATGTGGCACACACGATGATTCCCATGACATCAAAGATCATTTCTATGGCACAAACGACTATTTTGGTCACGGAAACCAGTCCGTTCTGGATATGTGGTCAGTGGAGTGGACAAGCTGATCTCCTTACAGAACTTTGAGCGAACCATTACGATATTTCCCAACCCTGTATTTTTGTGGCTAGGTAAAACTCAATCTCTCCGCCGCCGTAAGGGTCCTTGAGTCCCATTCTGTCCGCGTTTCGTCTTCACTTTTAGTGCTTTTACTTGAAACCTTTGGTTTCCGTCTAATTCTTACTTTAGTTTCACTTATTACCACCTCATATACAGGTCTGTTTAAAAATATCACCACCAGCTGCCGCCACAAACAACAGATTTTCTGTCGTGTCCATGCATTTCTTCACTTCAGCACTGTCAGTCTAGGGCCCAGTGAATCGAGTTTCGATGTCGATGAACGTTACTTGTTGTATATTATACCCGAATTCACCCATACTGGTGTCCACAATTTACATTAAAGAAACACGAATGTTTCACATTCTAGAATTTCCTTTCTAGAATCACTTAAAATTCTGAATTTTACTCTGCTCAGATTGTATTTTCTGCAAAGATGAATTCGATGACTTTCTATAATCGCATGCGAAAACAAGAGCCCAAAATAATATGTTTTGTTAGTCTTCACCTGTCGGTCTTTGTTCTATTCACCAAAGACAGCAGTATTGTATCCAGGTGCAGCATGACTGGCAGCCTATGTCTTATTGAAAATTTGAATTGAGACTAACGATGTCGTGATATTAGTGGTGCGTACTTGAGCAAGTACTGCTTATAATCTATATTTTATCAGAAAATCGCAAGTTCATATTCCAAATTTGAAATCATATCTAAGTGAGCATATTAAGCTTGTTAAAGTTAAAGGGCACGACTGTAAACAGAATGATATAATACACAAGCAATGGCACGATGATAATTATGAGTAATGGTACGAAGAAGTGTCACGGATGTTTTCAAACGCGCTTAGAGATGGATGAGTTCGACATGGATTTGAGCTGCCAGTTTTTCGATGGCAGATTTTCAAAATTAACTGATTGCTGGCTATCTAAATTTCGTAGTTCTTCAATTTTTTGCAGGACATTTCCTATTTTTGAAAGGGTACTACAAGCCCATAGATCTGTCATAATTTACTAGCTCACTTAATGCCTTTTCTTGTCGTTAAGAGAAAAGAGATAGTTGGACTGATTGTTTATCATCTAAATCATACATAAAAATATAACGTTTTGCTTTGGAAAATACGCCAATTATTTTAGAATTGAATAAAATATTTTCTTCGCAATCACCAGACGTGAAGTCGAAAAGTATGTTCAAAGCACTTTGATGTAGCAAAAATAACTTCAAAGAGATTCTTGAAAAGAACCAAATCTAGACCAGAATAAATATACCAGTTTATTATTTAGTTCTGAGAATTTCGTCGTATCTCGAAGAAATCATACATTTTAAAATCTTGAAAAGACCATGACTTGAACCTAACTAGAAATTTCAGGAGCCATTTCATTTATTGTTTTTAGGTTTCTCATGGTATTCAGAAAAAAATATTGAAAAGGCTGCAAGCATAAACTTTGAAAGATCTTATCTGGCTACTCTTATTTTCTCAGCGTCGGAAGTGTCTAGGACTCATCTTGTTGTATTCATGGTATGATCCTTCTCTGATATAACTATCACTCTTAAGAGAATCCTACATTCAGATGTCGTAAAAGTATCTGAGCAGAATCTTGCTTTTCCTTGAAAACTTCTGAAAACAGGAATTATTACGATTCGTAACAGAATCTTGAAAGATCCTTTCAAGTTTTCTCAAGGAATGAACAGAATTGAGACTAAGATATATTTACCATTTGCCTTCGTAGGAATTGTAAAGGTACGTGTTTTACTTTGCCTTATTTTCGTTCACATTGATGAAGAAGCTGTTACAAATGTGACTAGTGTCATATTCTCGATTATTTATTCAGTTTACTCATTAGCCCATAACGAGTTAGATGTATATTATTTTATCAGCAAATAAAGTCATCATTGTAAACAATACCATCTAGTAGTGGCCATGCTTAATTGCCATTGTGATCGAGTTTTACTTTTAAGAGCAGTGAACATTTCAGATTTTGTAAAAAGCAAATTTTGTTGCGCTTTTAGACGAAGACATAAGTATAAATAAAAGCAAAACTGGAAGCCTACAAAATTATTTTAAGATGCATCTTCATTTTATCATCCTTGAAATCAATGACTGCATGTATTAATAGTTTTGTGTGTCCCGCAAACAATGAAATTTCTTTTATCATAAAAACAAAATGCATATCATTTGTATGAGAATATTGAAACATGACATATTATTCTTGCATGCATCAGTCTTGAAAGGCGTTATATGTTTCTTTTCTTCTTAACTCTATTTCATGCTGATTTTTCTATCATAGTGAATATTTTTCGCTGTGCTTATTGTTTAAAAGAACTAACTTTTATTTTCGCATGATGTCAATGAATTATTTTGTTGTACTTTCCTTTTTTGCATGGATGTAAGTATTTATTCAACATGCTTCCGCTTTTCTTTCTTCTATTGTATATATTTTCTTGGTGATAGTGAATGGTCATTTATATTTTTTGTTTCTTTGTACATGCATAGTCGATAGTAGTTTAATGGAACAGAAATTATCTTAGTGAAAGAGGGATTCAGAAGTAACAATGTAATATTTAGTTTTTTAAGTGAAGAATTTCTGTTCAAGAAACTTATGTAGTCAACTGATTCGGCTGCTAGTCTTGTACGTCGATTACTTGTCATGAATCCACTGAATGAAAGTATTCTCTTAGGCGGTGTATTGGTAGCAGATGCACGTAAATATTTTTGAATAAGGTTGGAAATTTTACGAAATCTGTTTTTGTTTTCATTGTATCAAATAGAAACACATGCCCACGATCGGTTGAAAATAAACGAACGCATGATGTTTTCTCGGTAGATCTTTAGTTAGAGCTCATATTTTATTTATTGTAGTTTGTTTAAAATGCGTAGAAATATATTGAAATAGCAGAACTAGAAAATCATGTGCACAATAATATGTATTTGTGAAATAACTGTAAAAATATGTCCCGACCAATTAAGTGCGTGGAAAGCTGCAACCCTTCTGATACTGATTGACAAGTTTCGCATATCTATAATAATAGCATTCTGGATTCCTTGTGCAATTTTGATATGTGAATTTTCAACAGCGTCATGAGCACAACTGTATTGACTGACGTGTCCATGGAACTTGATAGTAGCTTCACCGGTTCAAACAATCCGATCAAGCAACGAATAATCGTCGATAAAAAAGTTCAGAAAAGAACTAACAAATTCACAACATTGATCGGGATTATCATTACTCAAAATATGTAGTAAGAGAGGACGATAGAGTTTCAGTATCATTTTTATCATAAATCACCGAAGTCTGGCTCTAGTCGAATTCGCCCTCAGAGACGCTCTTCTGGTTGACGTTCCAGTGCTTTTTTCAAAACTTATCTGCATCATTGTCAATTTTTCTGCGGTAACGGATCTAGGTCGACCAGATCTGACTTCATCTTACTTTCGTACATTATCAGCTGTGTTTTGGCAAATGGCATACCATTTGACACTCTCAATACTTTCTGATTTGGATATTTGAGAACCGTCACGCATATAGAAGTAATCTGCAAAGTATTCAGAATTATTAGATTGCAATGATCATTTGTTGCTTATTATGATCCTTACTGTCAAACACGCTTTCCAGTCAATTAGTACATATAGATACTGATCATATGGTGCATCTTTGAGTTGTATCACTTAGTACATGCGATAAAAATATGAGATCCAACTAACGATGTAAAAATAAAAACTTTTCTACTCCATTACTTTTGATCCAGATCTACTAGTGAATAAAGTGCATAATGTAGTGGTGTAGGTGCACAAAATACTAGACATTTATCTTTCAGTAGGTTTTTTAAATCAAGGAAAATGAGTGACGATGAGTTCTACGTATATAAACAATTCAGTTGCTACCTTTTATGAAACACAATCTGAAAGAATTAAATTTCAATTGGCGACTGACGTAATACTATTTTCGTTTCATTTTAGCGTTTCTAATGAAGCTAGATTGGGCATGCGTGTTCATACTGTAGCCCTGTTGAATTCCCGTAAAGTCACTGACGGTCACAAATCTGCCAATACTATAGCTATGACTGAAATATATGATCCGTTAGCAGACCAATGGACCATTACTGCAAGCATGACAACACCACGTGAATTTCATACTGCAACTCTACTAAATTCGGGCAAAGTTCTTGTTGCTGGCAGTGGAGGATATACCGGTTATACGGCTAAATGTGAAATATATGACCCATCAACCAGTCAATGGCATACGGCTGCAAGCATGGCAATGCCACGCGGTTTTCATACTGCAACCCTACTCGGTTCGGGCCAAGTACTTATCACTGGCGGCACTACCTTTGACATAAACGGTATTCTGAATAGCTGTGAGATATATGATCCACTAACAGACAAATGGATGCCTACTGCAAACATGACCATACCACGTTCTAGTCATACTGCAACTCTACTCAATTCAGGCAAAGTACTTGTCACTAGCGATGCGGCTAGTTCTGAGATATATGATCCAACGACGGGCCAGTGGAGCTCTCTTGCTAGCATGGGACCAAAAGCGCATTATAATCCAACTGCTACCCTGCTAAAATCAGGCAAAGTTCTTGTCAATGGTGGCATCCAATCTGCCATGTATTCGGCAAGTTCTGAAATATACGATCCATCAATAAATCAATGGGACACCATTGCAAGTATGGCAACAGCGCGTCAGTTGCACACTTCAATTCTGCTCAGTTCGGGAAAAGTTCTTGTCACTGGTGGCGTAGGATATACAGATTTCTTAGACAGTTGTGAAATATATGATCCATCGATTGGAAAATGGAGCAACATTAGTAGTATGACAGCAGAACGTTCTTCTCATACTACAACCATGCTTAAATCAGGCAAAATTCTTGCTACTGCTGGCTACGGTTATACAGGTTTCCTGGATAGTTCTGAAATATACGATCCATCAACAGCTAATTGGAACCCTAGTGCAAGGCTGTCAATCACACGTGCTTCTCATACTGCAACCCTACTCAATTCAGGCAAAGTACTTATCACTGGTGGCGAAAAAATTGGCAGCGATATGACTATTGACCATCGAAAGAAGGAATAGCTTATGGTCATTTTTTAATAAACCAGCAACAGAAATAGTTAGAGATATTTGTTTTTCAGATATCGAAAGAGAAGTCTATGGAGTACCTTTTTCAAGCAAAAAGATTATTGAAAAGGAGTGATCTAGTCCAGAAAACGATTTTTTTCCTTTTAGACCTATGGTTAGTTACCTACCATTTTTGAAACGATAACAACGCGTTTAAATTTTATTCCATCGACTGAAGATTGGATCAAATGAAATAGAATGAATTTATATTCTTGTGTACATTCATGTTTACATATATATATTTGGGAGAGTTTAAAGAAGTTATTTGAAATGTGCTTTTTTGTCCTAGGAGGTGAATGAATCACAGTTGCAGCCTGTAGGTTTTTCTGACCATGTAACAGTTAAATAATACTCTCAGTTAATTATATATCCACTTCTTTGTTGTTGATCGTAAAATCATAATAAACTTGAATGAATGACTCTGATAGGCAGAACAATGATACTGTATTTATAAAATTAATTGGTGGCTAGTTGACTTCAAGTAACAGGGGTCGCATGTTTCTTCAACATGAGTTTGGAGGAAGATTATCAGCATTTTTCACTTCCAATAGAAACCTGGTCATGCAAAATTTGACTGATAAAGGGTTAATCAGTACAGCAATGATGTAAAGCTGCTATTTTGTTACTATAGCATATTTTGTGAAACACGATCTGAAAGAAGTGTTGAAGTGTATAGGGTAGAAAATTGAACCCATACCTCGGCCCCCACAGACAGGGACAGAGAAATTAATTAATTAGTTAGCTGATTAATTAATTAATTTCTCTGTCCCAGCCTGTGATGGTTTCTGAATTCTCTGTCACGGTCCGTGATGGGTTTTGAAGGGTCTGTAACGGTCTGTGAAACTTCTCTATCACGGTCTGCGATGGCTTCTGAAGTCTGTGCAACCGTCTGCGATTGTCTCTAGAGACTTCATACACCATAATACAGATACAGATCATGACAGAGAAGCTTCACAGACCGTGGTAGACGGATTCCAGAAAACGAGCTTTATCGTGTTTCACATTTTAATCCCACAGGGATTGCGCTACCAGCTTTTTTCTGTGATGATGAACCTATAAAGCCAATTGACAATCTTTTTTTTCTCTTCATGTTATGAGATTCGGTATTTATAGGATGATCCACAATTGCATGACTATAATGTACCAGAACGAGTTCAAACATTTATCAAGGTTGAACATGACCAAGTTTGTATTATATGTATTTGAATAAAAAATGATTTATGCAGTCATTTATAGGCTGTAGGCTATGCTGCAAATCATATAGTGATGACGATGGGAAGTGATTTTGAAAATGAAAATGCGAATGAATGGTATAAGAATTTGGATAAATTAATCAGATATGTTAATCAGGCCAATCGAATTTGGACAACCAAGACCAATGATTTTTTTCCAATGTCACTTGCTACGCATGGAATTTTGAATGATTATTTTACTTCACGACCAGCATTGAAACGATATGAATGCCATTCAAATAATATTCTTCAAGTCACAAGACAACTTAATGGATTTTCAAATAATACACTGCGTAGTGCAATTTTTCCTCTCAGTATAAATAATTGAGTTTGCATAAAATCAACAGATAAGCATGTATAGGTGAAGCGATGGGTATTGGTCAGCATCATGATGCAGTTAGTGGAGCAGAAAAACAATATGTTGCTAATGATTATGCTCAACGATTATCCCAAGGTGCTGACGCCGCACTTGTAAGAAAAATCAATCTAACTATAATGAAGAGTATTTCTTCTTCTTCTATATAGTATGTTATCAATGAAGCTTATAAAAAATTATTATCGAAAGCAGATCAATCACTACCGATGTCTACTCAATATCTCTGTCAATTTTCAAACATTAGCGAATGTTTACCAATCGAACGACAAGATAGTGTAAGTGAAATTAGTTTTTGTTTTGAAAATTGCCTGAAAATGAAGCGTTAAACAGTTTACATTAACAATATGGAATCCAACAATTCAGCAAATTGATAATCTAATTCGTGTACCAGTAACAAAGCAATATAAAATTCGAAGTCCAACCGGTGAAACAATTGCAATTGATGTAAGAATTTCTTTCTTGAAATATTTCCAGTCTGCTTAGTTTATTCCAATTTCTCTACCGATAAAAAATATTCCTGGTCGAACAAGTTCGACTGACTATGAATTATTATTTTGAAGCTCAAGGTAAAAGAATTTATTCGGTGATCTATTTTCATTAGCTGATGCAATGATAGAGAAAAAATCTACAATAAGAATAAAACAGAATGAAGCACGTGTACTTCAAAATCAAGTAATTAATGAAAGCTCGAAACAATTAAAAGTATTCTTCTTTTATTTATGCAGCATCTTCGAGTTGAGTTTGATGATCAAGGAAATTTAAATAGTATTACTAACCGAGATAAAAATATTACACTACAATTTTCTGCTCAAGGTCTTTATTGGTATACAAGTAAATAGTTACTATTATTCCATAGATTTATTGAACCATTTTAATTATCATTTAAATGATAGGTTTTCAGGGTAACAATTCTCGTCCGGAATTTCAATCATCAGGTGCTTATTACTTTCGACCACTCAAATCTAACCCATTGCCGGTGAGCAGTGCACGTAATATGTAAGTGGGTGAATCCATGGAGAGCCATCCACTTTTTCGGAAAAGTTTTTTTTTTCGATTTTTTTTCGTTCAAAAGGCTGATCTCGACTAGAAAACACTTTTGGTCAAAAAAAAATATATAGTGTCTATCAAAAATTCCGAGTTTTCGAGCATTTTCTC